GTACATTGGTATGTGAAAACATGCCAGCGTTGTCAGGAACGAACCAAACGTGTGGTGGAAATCCCACCCACCGTGACACATACACCATCTATTTTCCAACGACTACACGCTGATACCGTACACATGACTCCGAAATCAAATGGATGTAAGTACATCGTCCATGGGAGGTGTGCACTGTCAAGCTGGGTTGAAGGAAAACCCCTAAAAAGTGAAACTGCAAGAACTGTCGGCTTATGGCTTTTTGAAGAAGTCATCTGCAGATGGGGTTGTCTAGAAGTAATAATAACTGACAATGGTTCGGTTTTCCTTGCTGCTGTAAAATGGCTCGAAGAAAAATACAGGATAAAGGGTATTAGGATATCTCTGTATAATTCTAAGGCAAATGGCAGAATCGAAAGGCCCCATTGGGATATTATACAAATGCTCACAAAGTGCTGTGGACCCAAGAACCTTGCCAAGTGGTATTGGTTCTTTTGGCAAGTACTTTGGGCTGACAGGATCACGATTAGAAAAAGATTTGGTTGTTCGCTGTTCTTTATGGTGACAGGCGCACATCCAATATTACCTCTCGACGTACAGGAGGCTACCTGGTTAGTAAAATTACCAGATCGTATGTTGTCCACTGCAGAATTGATTGGCTATAGAGCCAAAGCATTAGCAAAACACAGGCAGCATGTGGCGGAAATGCGCGAGAGGGTCACCTTAGAAAAAGTGAAAAGAGTGGCAAAATATGAACTAAGCCACCGCCATAAAATCAGTGGTCGAATGTATAAACCCGGAGACCTGGTGCTTATCAGAAATTCACAAGTATCCTCGTCATTAAATAGTAAAATGCAACCAAGATACCTGGGACCTATGATTGTGGTACGTCGAACAAAGGGAGGTTCATATATAGTTTGTGAACTGGACAGATCAGTCAATCACAATAAAATTGGAGCGTTCAGAGTCATTCCGTATTTCGCAAGAGAAAGGATCGACTTACCTGAGCACTTCAGTACACTTATTGATGCAAGCAATGAGGAACTGGATGAAATCGAAAACACAGGCGTTGAAGAAAGACCTAACGCAAGAGATTACTACTTTGAAGGAGTTAATCTTGATGGGTCTTCCGCAGATGAATCCGGGGACTTAGAAGAAATCGAA